CTTGTTCTATCACTTGTTACTCAGGAGAAGAGATCAATTTCCCCCTTCCCACAACCTCCTCTCAGGTGGTGGTAGAGAGTAATAAGGTCTTCCCTGAGCCTCCTTTTCTCCAGGCTAACCTACGCCAGTTCCTTCAGCCACTCCTCATAAGACGTGTGCTCTAGACCCTTCATATCACATTACATATAGAATTAAATAGTTGACAATGATTGTGCTCAACCTTATGTTACCATTAGTTTTCAAGAAAACAGGTTAATACAGACCTTTAAAGTACACAGCCTTTTTTTCTTGCTGCTTGTCAATAATCAATTTACTCCATTGTCTATGTTTAATTTGATTCTTAAAGTAAATGTCTAGGCATAGGCAATGCCCTTGTCATAGCACTCAGGTTACTCAGAGACTATTGGTTCATATCCCAAATTAACTGGAAAATCATCTGTGTCTTGTTTTACTTTTTAGCAAATTAAACCTTTTCCCCCCAAGCCCATTATTTGCATATGACTAAGAGAAAACAGAAAATGTCTTGACATATGGAAATTACATAACAAAAAATATCATCCTGATATTCCCAAAGTTTTGCTACTTGCTAGTATTTATATAGATTACTGGTATCAATCTGCTTTACTCCTCTAATAAATCAGCTACGCCTGAAATCTCCATGGATTGGGTATTTTGTCCAGCTGTCCTGAGAAGAGTCAGACCCATGAAGTTTATCAAATGATTCAGGAAATGCAATGCAATAAATAACTTCTCAAACTACTGTTATGGAAATATTCTTTACATTAAGGCTGAAATCAGAAATGCAGCTGATGAAATCTAGAATACATTTCTTTATGTAACATGTAACTCACTTTGTAGCAGCTTTTTGTCTTATTAAAAATCAGATTTAATGGAGAATATTAAGGTGTCACCTTTAACAGAAATACCAGTTTAATCTTTTTTGCAGTAGTGCCACAGATCCTGGTCTGATTTTATATATACACACACATTTTGCTGTATGAAACTGGTTTTTCTAGAGGCGCGTGGTTCTTCTTGAAATACATTTGAACCCCAACTATGTTTTAAACTAAATGAATCTACATCATATAACATTGATTATCTAAAAAACAGGGATGCGAGAGCCTAGATGTCCTTTATATTGACAGAAATGCTTGTTTGCATACTAGAAATGGTTTTCTTATGAGTGACTTGGAAACCGCTACTACAAATGAAATTTTTGTCTCTGTGGGAAAACGAACCCATACTTTTCAGTTATCCCAAAATTTACCTTGTCTTTTCTTGATCTATCTGAAACACAAATATTGGTAGTCAGATGTTTCTACTCTTAACTCCTCCTTCCTATTTTAAAATTATATGTTGCTTTAAGTTTTGCAATTCGCAGTAGCAAATAGAAGCCAATCTCTTATTTCCTACGAATCCTCTTATTTACATCTTTATGAAAGTCAAATGCTGATATTTTAGTCTTTTCATGTACTGTTTCAAAGCATTCAGCAGCTCTCCGACCAGTAGTGTCACAGTCTGATATGCTTGGCAAACAAATTGTGTTATTTTACGGCATCTGTGAGGTTTTCCACCAAGTTGAATATAGTCTCCTAACTAGTGTTTCAATGTGAGAACAGAATGTAGTAATTATCATATTGTTTTAATTTCAGATTTTCCCTGTCAGTTATTGCTTTTCCTAGACTTAGATTCCTGATTTTTGCACTCCATGTGGGAGGATGTACCAACAGAAATAATATAAGATCTATCAGAAACAAGCAAATAAAGAGGAAGTTATATATATTGAAAGATAACAGGAAGACAAAGCAAAAGATGTTGATCAGTTGACTCAAGGCTGTGCCTGCTCAGATGTGGTAAATTCACAAGGTACTAGGGTCTTTTGGCTTATTTTTGAGAGAATGCAACCTGTTTTGCAAGGTTTTTGCATCAGTTTACATTTTTATGTCTGGAAATACAATCACACAATATTGACCACCGCATTACAAATATAAAATTCTATATTTTGGCTTAAGTTGTCCTGTCGCTCTTGCTTCCAAAGAAAACATTCAATTGTATCATTCTATTTCTGATACCAGGACCAAGACAAAAAGGGGAATAAAGAATAATCAATTTCCTCTTATCAGTGACAGATAGTGGTGTACTGGGAGATACGGACCTAAAAATACTACTATTCAATGTGCAGACCCACTTTTATGGTACTGGGCCGTTATCAGTAAAAAACTGTGGAGAGGAAACACAAATTCTAAAAGCTCAGAACCTTTGTAAGAACACTGAAGGTTTAACCTTCATATGGCAAAAGCACAGTATGGAACTAAAGAGATGCTATAAAACCTTCTAGCAATACATGTGGCCTGCTGGTGGGAAGAAGTCCATAATGAGGACAGAGGTCAAAGACGTAATGATTATCAGGGCAAGTTGCAAGAGGACATGCAATCTGATGCAAGGTTCTATTCTCTTCTGTTACCATGAACAACTGCTTAAGGGGCGAAAGTCTTCATTGTGAGAAACATTTCTTTCTTCCTCCCACCACCTCATTTTGGCCATAATTGTGCTGTGCTCCTCTAAAGAGTGACTCCCTACAGAGCCTCCTACAGAGAAGATCTACTGGACTTGCTCAAGGGGACCAAGACGCAGAGGATGGAGCATACAGCAGGCAAGAGAATCCCACAGAAAACTTACTTGACTATCAGCAGATGGTCCAGAACAAAAGCAACATGAAACAGGGACTGCAGCAGTGATGAGGGAAGGACATTTTCCAAGGACCAGAGGTGACAGAGGAGAATTGGGCAGGCTCAACCACAGTGATTAAAACAATCTGGATGTGAAGACACACTTGCAAGGACAAAGGGAGCTGTTCTATTACGCCCAATTCCTCTGCTTTGAATTCTTAGAAATTTAGAAAGTTTCTAGTTGATATTATAATGACACATAGCACTTTCCCACCTGAATTTCAAAGCTTTTTGATCTTCATGGTGGAAGCAGATTCACCTTAAATATCTGGCTGATACAAGGTCCCTCCACTGGCCATCAGCCTCTGTAATGCCCCTCCATATCTGCAGTATCCTGATTGACATGCTATAGATAACTGCTCAGCTTGATTTGCTAGTACAGCATGTGGCTGAAACCTTGGAGGACAGAATCAGTGGCTCTGAGGTATACCACATAAAACAGCTCTCTCAGTCTCACATTAACTAGCTAGGTGAACAGATAGCAAAATAGCGAGCATTTCATCAAATCTGTCCTATGCTTCAAGAAAGTCCTTCAACATAGATAAATTGCCATGAAACACTCATTTTTTAACAATATAGCTAGAACTGCTTTTAATCAGGAAATGCTCTGATGAAAAAAGGCACAAACTACTCTGAAAAACTAGTTGTTCAGTACTGGTATCCAGTAGAAACTTACAGGACAAATAATAGCTGAAAGCCTCAAATTATCATTTGGTATTTTTCCTGAACCTAACTGGGAGAGGCTGCTTGGCAATTTTCAGTGCCTTCCACCAGCTGAGCTGATTAGCCCATGATCAGTGCTGAGAAATGTAACGTGCCTGTCACTGGGGGCATTTGCTGCCAGCTGAGCACACTCACATGGACAATTAGCAAGGCACAGCCAACATGCAATAACTTGTTAAGATGCAGTAATGTTTATTTTTCCTTTCAAGCCTCATACTAAGAAGGAGTGTGAAGCAAAAGAGGTTTTGAGAACTAAGGGAAGGAAATGTCCCTGATAAAGGAGAAAACTATGATTCCCTCGCACTCCCCCAGCTTGCATATTAATACTGACAGAAAACCTTGCCAAATGACTTGTTTTGCTCCAGTCAGCTCTCACTTCTGTGTAGACCATGTTCTCAATAGTGAATTTATCAGAACACTCCTATTTCAGGCTAAAAAAGGGGGAACTGTAATTATAATAGCTATATTAAATATATACACCAGAGTACTCACTACAACACAGTTCAATTAGATAAGTTCCTTGTGTTAGCCATACATCACTTTTTACAATCAAATAGAAAAAAGACTGAAATAAATTATTTAATGCTAATTTATTATCTCTATTAGAATTCTGTCACTGTGCCCTATCATGGGAACATACAAATTCTGTGCATTTTGTGAGAATGCTAATGGGAATGCACTCTGGCTCTGAAATAATTTTAGTTTCAGTGATACATATGAAAGTTACTTGAAATCAGATGATCTTAAGGTCCTTTCCAACCCTAACTAACTATTCTCTGATTCTATAAGATTCTTAACGTGGCTATAATCGTAACAAGAATGTAACTGAACATTTTAGAATGGTGAAAAAATGCTGTATCTGAACTTACAATTTTATTAGCACCGCCACACTCCTTCCACTATTTTCTTCATCCATCAGGTGCAATTGACTTTTCTTCTAAATCAAATTTGAAGAAGCTTCTCCATGTTCAAGAATTTTTCACGTTAGAGAACACCCCCCAAACCAAACCCATCCAAAACCCACATTTTCCATTATGACAATTTATTTACATCACATAAAGAATTTAATTATTAATGAAACAAAAACGTTGAGAGAAAGGTCCTACATATCCCATTAGAATGTAAGAGTAAGTGAAATAAAATTAAAATTTGAATTAATGAATACAAGGCTTGATACCACCAACAGTGGAATTGGTGAGATTCTCTCCTCCCTCATCTCCCTCTTTTAAAAATCTAACTTCATAAATGAACACAAGTTAGCAGAAGGGGAAATGATGTGGAAAAACACCTCAAAAACCAAACAGAACCCCCAAAGAATAATGGAAAAGGTTTCCCACTTATACTTGCACATTTGCTTAAAGAAAACCTTCTGCCAAAGTTTATTATACATCCTTCACACAGCCAAAAATCAAAACAACTTCGCTTAAATATCCTGGCAATTGGAACAAGACAATTCAAACTACTGTTCCTATAGCATAGACAAATCTGAAACCAGACTAAAAGAGGCACAAGGCAATCAACTGTTTAAATTAGATAAGACAAACTTACGCTTGTTGTGTAAGCAGCTTCAGGGTCATCCTCTAACACTCGTGACAAACCAAAATCGGAGACTTTACACATGAGGTTACTGTTGACCAGAATATTACGGGCTGCCAGATCACGGTGTACATAGCCCATGTCTGAGAGGTACTTCATGCCAGATGCAATCCCCCGCAGCATGCCAACCAGCTGGATGACTGTGAAGTGACCATCATGCTTCTGCAAATAAAGATGCAAGTTCAAAGAATACAGCTACTTTTCATTAATTTCATACGAATGATATTAACTACAGCACATGTTTAAAATGCATTTGTAACCCATCCAGCCAACCTGCCTGCTGCAAGCTTGTTTTTGCAAGCATTTAACTTGGTTAGCAAGCTATTCCATCTCTCATTGATAGTTTATCCCCCTCTTCCACATTTCACACCTTCCACAATCTTTGTACTAGCAGCATTGAATGTCTTTATCCTCAGTTACCAAGATCACTTTCTCCCAAAACTATTTTTTAATTCAAAAATCAAAATGCACACAACCCCCCTCTTCATCTCTTACTCCATGGCCTCAGGAAACAAAATATCCTCTTTTTATTGTCTCAGTCTTGATTGCCTGCATGAGGTACTACTGTTATCTCACATTTTGCTTTTTCTGGGGGAGTTACAAAACCAAACAAACCAAACCTTCAAACACAAAACCTAAGACAATCCTGGAAAAAGTTTGAGGCTTTACCTCATATCTGTCCTGCACCTAATGCCATAGAACCTCTGAACAGTGTGTTAAAAATAAGATTTGGGCTTAAGTTCAGGGGTTATGTAGCTTTCCAAAGTCTTTTGGGCTAAGCCCATTAAGCTCAGACCCATGAACACATTAAGCTGCTTAACTCCTGCTCAAATCTATTGGAGTTGAACATGTAAATAAGAGTCATGTTGTTAACCACACTTGTTATCTGGTCAGTCCTGGTGGGCCTAAGTTTCCTGTCTGCAACATTAATGTTAATTCCTCTGTACCTCTACATCAGAACACTCCTGAATTGTGTGGCAGTGGGGACTAAATGAGTGCCTGTGCAGGAATCCAGTTATGGGCTCTTTGCCTTGTTTAGGTCTGACCTACCTACCATTTACAGGAGACTGCTTACAGCAGTATTTTTGTGACCTCAGTTGGCAGGCATTTAGCTTCTCATGGATTATTCAGGGAGCCAGGCTTTTATGTTAGCAGGAACAGCCAAACGAAAGCAAACAACTCTTCCCTGCAAGTTAACTTCCCATTTTCTCTTTCAACACCTTCAGCATTGAGCTACAGACAAGTAGCAGTGTTCTGATCAGCATTCGGGACACTTCTGTTGCTTGGCTCATACATTAAAGCAAAAAGATTTTTATTCAGGGGACACATTTACAGTAAATCCAGTAAATTCATTAGGTTCAGCAAAGCAACAGGCTGAACTGTATGGATATGCTTAACTTCACCTCTGATCACCGGAGTATGTCAGATTTAATGATTTGGGGCCTATATCTAGCTAGTCAGGATATAAACATTTAAAGGAATAGGGAATTAGTACTGAGCTGTAATTAAGGTTACAAAAAAACCCACAAACAAAACCCCAGACATGGGAGAAATTTGGTTACTTGCTCCTCACATTATCAGTCTTCTGAGATGAAACAATACTAGACCAAGACCTGCCTCTAATATATGTATTATGTCTCTACTGAAATCAAGAAATTATACATTCTTAAATGATAAATCATTTGGTGCGCATAACAGGCTGCTAAATTGAAAAAGTTTTTTATCTATAAAGAAGTTGGAGGAACTAGTTCCAGAAGTCACCATTATACAATTCAATTCTAATGAATGCAAATAGAAGGACAGACGAACAGAAAGAAAAGGGTAACAGAAGATATGCGTGGTTGCTACATGGTTTGGCTTCCAAGCTGTTATTCTAAGGCAACATACAAAAGTTAAGATACTACTACACCTTGCCATCTAGAACACCTAAAACCCTCATCCTACCACACAAACCCACTTGTATTTAAGGAGCCATGCTTCCATCAGAGGTCAGATACCACAGCCATCTCACAGACTTCTCCAAATCACACTTAATGATGCTTCTTTGAAACCAGCTATTTATAACTTATTCATACCAATTTTTTTTCCCTTCAATGGTCTCACTGCTTCTCTCCCAGCAGTACTCTAGAGCCTTTTTGTCTCTAAATTCCCTATGCAAAAGCAGAGGCAGATCTCTCCAAGTAATCATGTAACACCTATAAGCAACCCCAACCCTTTATTGTCTCCACCAAAACAACCTGTAAGGTGTTAGTTCTGCAGGTGACACTCACCTGAGGCTCAACACACAAGTGTGCTAACCTGATATTTTACAAAAGGCCATTCCCTATGATGGGCTCATGATATTCCCTATCACATGCCCCTATCACAAAAATAAGGGGAACCTCTCAGAGTCTAAAACATGCCACTGACAGATATTTTAAATAAAAACTTTCCAGCTAGCAAATAAGTAAAAATAGAGACAATATTCTTAATAACTATTGTATTTATTGTAATAAATATTCTTAGTAAAATTTCAATAAAGGAAAGATGCTAACTCTATCTGGTATTTTATGTAATGAAGCTTCATGGGATTTGGGTTTTGCTTTTTATTTAATAATTCTAAATGTTCAATTGACTCAAAATTTATTACGCTGGTTGCAAACAGTTAATATTCTTCACACTTACCCATATAGATGTCTTTTTTAACTAATTGTAGAATTAGGATTTGGAATGAAACACTTATGAATGACTTTTGCAAAACAATCAAACAAGCTCCCCCTGTCCCCCCAGCAAAGCATGAAACAAAACCAACCCCTCAGACCTCTAGATTTTACTTCCTCCTTATCATCACTAACAGATCCATTCTTTAAGCAGCCGTCTGCAACACCTCAACCTTTTGTCCCCCTGGATCACAAGCATTTATTTCTTCCTTTTTTAACTTGTGCTCTTTCATAGCTAGACCACGCTTGACTGATTTTTCATAAAACATAACCTTTCTCTGCACTTTCCAAGTCTCAGTCTTTGCCTTACTGGTATAGCAGAAATGCCTGAGTTAAAAACAATCTCATGCTTTTGCCATTCTCTTCCTCCTTCTTTCAAATTTATTTGGGCTTCTGCCTTGACACAAAAAGTTCAAGTTTCTTATCTCCATCTTTGAAGAAATGACAGGTCTGCTAACATACCAGTTGCAATTTTATTCTGTCCTCCTTTTCCCTCTGTATATTCCTCTGAATCCTCTTCTACAGTTGTTTTTCTCTGTCCCTTCTCATGCTTGGTTTTATGTCATTTCATTGCCATTTTTCCTGCCAGAAAAAGAGTCTTCTCTCTCTCAAGTTTCTCTGTAATCACATCTGCATCAGTTTCCATGGCAATTGTATTCCCTTGCAATCTACAATCTATACAGTCTGGTATAATTTCATCAATTTAGTTGAATCTTCCAAGGTATTAAAATATTTGTCTGATTTAAACTGATCAGGATAGATACTATGGGCCATATTTAACCCTTGGAAAATTCAACTAAATTGATGAAATTATACCAGATATTAATCTGGCCTTGTATTTGTAGCATTTGTAAATCCCTACATCCATCTGTGAGTCAAACCAATCCTTTGCCAACTTTCCATTGTCTTGTTTCATATGCTTGTCATACAGGGACATGAAACACTCATCTGAATGATATGGCAGTTGCTGTCCAGGACTTTATTCTGATTCCCATAGCTTAGATGTGAAATATGCTTTTGATAGGATTCCCACTGGGGTGTTAAGGGTGTTTGTTAATCAATACTGGCAGCAACTCAGACCTCAGTGGACTTACCACATTTGTCTTATCATCCCATCAAATTTTAATCAGGCTTTAATGGCTTAGCTAAATAAACTTCTCTCAACAGCTGAGTATAGATGCAATATCTGAGTCCTTGCCATTGCATTTATGCAGCCCTGCAAACACCCTGAAAAAATGTTGGGTTTTAATTCAGCTACAGTTTGCTTTTCAAAACTTATGTACATTAAATATCCTCCTCCTATTACAGACCCTTCAACAGCACTGACATATAATGGGCTAGTGAAGAGGGTCAGTTATTGCAGAGGAGGAAGGATGATATCCTAAGTTTCTTTCTTTGCTTTCCACCCTATACTTTCCAGCTCCAGCATGCAGTAATTCAGTGCTTTTCTACAAGCCCATGGAATTTTACTACTGAGCAGCCTTTTGGAGGCATGGTTGTCGAATTTTTCTGTATTGAACTTTAACAGGATAAATCTACCAAAATTCATATTGCAAGTATAACTCATTCTTCAGACTATCATGTGGATTGCACTCAGGTTTAAATTATTGGTACCGAATAAGGTCAACTGTCAATTTCTTTTTTAATCAACTGTTAACAGGATTCTGTACAATTGTACAGCACCTGATTTCATTAAGTATAATACATAGAAACCTGAAACTATCTTAGTTTATGCTACTTACGCTTAGTTTATACTTAATAATGCTATTGAGAGAGCTTACACAGGATCTAAGTCCTCTTCAACCATTAAAAATACGGGAAATCTTTTTATTATTAAAAAAAAAAAGTTGCAAGATGAATCCATCTGAAAGCTTATTTTAGGCTGCAACAGCCACCCTCAAATCTAGACAGAATAGCAGCAGTAGCCTTGCAATTTATGACCCTGTTTTCCTTACTCAGCTGCAGCAACAAGAAAGGGGTGTCCTGGAGTAACCAGTTGTCCCTGCCCACTTTGGTGCACTGAAATATAGCAGTCACAGAGCTGGAAGGGGCTGTGAGGGGGGAGCAAATCATCTCCTCTCCCTGGGTTATTCCTGACATGCTTTTCTCACCTGTAATTAAAGACCACTAGGGAAAACACTTTTTATCCTACCTGCTCTACACCACATCTTAAATAAGACGCCTCCCTTCAGCATGACACTTTGACAGGCACAGATTTCTTTTCCTCTTTGCATCTGCTTTTTATGCCCATGAAGACTAAATATTTTTCTTGGCCTTTTATTTGGGCTTAACAGAGGTTCAGTCCACAGCTCTCACTTGCTTGGCAACTATTCTTTTTGATTTTGTTGTGGACTCTACTCCATACAGATCCTGAAGCATCATGGTCCAAACAATACGCAGTACCCCGAGGCTTCACCAGTGTGATGCAGAGAACAAAAGTTACTTCACAGATCTTGCAGGAGA